ACAAAAATAATAAAATTTTTAAAAAAATGAAATGCAATCTGATATTACATGCACATTGAACTTGAGAAGTGCTGCTCTAGAATGCAGTGTACCTATGACAACAGGTGAAGTGGATTGGGCTGTTAGGTTGGTTCTGATTCAGAGCGACTCCTACTCCCTGGGGCTTTGCAGAAGCAGATTGCCAGATCTTTCTTCCACCATGTTGCTTTGGTGGTGGTTACTGTTAGCATGACCCCGTGAACAACAGATCCAAGCTTTACTCTGTCCTGTGCCTTCTTGATGGTCTCTGTCATGCTCAAGGCCATTGTTGGAGTCACTGTGTCACTTCATCTCCTTGACCCTCTACTTTTCCCAACATGATATCTTTTTCCAAAGACTGGCCCTTCCTGACTACATGCCCAAAGTCTGGGAGATGGAGTTTCATCCTCCTTTCCTCTTAGGAGCACCCTGCTTGCACCTCATCCAAAAGAGATTGTTCTTTGGGCTGTCTCTGGTACATGCAATAGACTTTGCCTCCCTCACAATTCAGAAGCAATGATTCCTCTCCTATCTTCCTTATTCACATCCCAAATTTCACATGGCTGTGAAGCATTTGAAAAGACCATGGCCTGGATCAGGCACACCTCAGTCTTTAAACCAATATCCTTGCTCTTTAATACTGTAAAGAGGTCTTTGACGGCAGAGCACACTTGTCTTTTGACTTCATATGAGTCATATTCAACTATGCTCTAGACTGCTCTTGGCCTGGGTGTTGGGAGCAGGAGTGGCATCCACTTCTGAATCAACATGCCTCTTGGAAACTATGAACTTTGAGAAATGACGACAGTTACAGAAAGGCTTCAGGCCTTTTGTTCATAGGGTCATTATGAGTTGTGCTCAACTCGATAGCAGTCAACAACAACAACAACAAACAAATCGTCATGGAAGGAAATTCCCCATCTTCTTCCTGTGGAACAATTGATGGATTTGAACCAACAGGTTTTCAGTTGAGTCAGCTGACACATGAAGCACCAGGCCACCATTGTTCCTTTTTCTCCATGCCACACAGTCCCTTTTCTTCCTCTCAAGAATTGGAGCATATTCTCCATGCTTATTAGTACTTTAGATGGATTAAAGATTTCTTCTAGTTCTTTCCTTCATCAGGGCAATAAAGACAGCCTTCAAAGGAAGAAGGAAAACTGATGGGGGTTTTTGTGTGTTTTGTTGTGTGTTTTTTTAAATCCCTGGGCAGAGTTTGCACCTTGCTACTTTCAAACCTGTATTTTAAAAACTCAAATTCTGAGTGTCTTTTTACAGTGCTTATATGACGTTTCTCTCAACTGTGTTACTTTTGCTGATGGAGTAATACTCTGTGTTAAGACAAACGGGGTTAGATACATTTGCTTTATACAGATCTAACTCCAAACCTAAATTATTCTCCTTTGCCAATTCCTTACTGAGTCTAGTTTTCTTCCCTATTCACTCATTCTTAAAGCAATATTTCTAATCTAAACTTCAGTGTATATTTGAAATCACTTGGCTGCTTCAGATGAGTTGTGGATCAGTAAACAGACAGGGAAAGTAGCATAACTTCACACGCACTCTCCCAAAAACCTCAATCTTTTGATTGTATTCTTGGCTATTGATTTCCTGTAATTGGATGCTCTCTGGATGCTCCAAATGTGGTATCAATAATAGTCCCGTTGCCAGTCACTGTGTATATATAGATGTGGGCCCTGAGAAAACGAGGGCATTGTCCTCTTAGGTTATGCCTAAATATAAGCAGCAAGGCTAATGGGAGGATAAGAGAAGAATTCTGTTACAGGGTAAGCACATTTATTTCCCCTTTATGCCACAATGAAATTGAACAAATGCTTCCTACACATTTTTGATGTTTCACATATCTAGATCAGGAGTGTGTGGGGGGGAAATAAATAAATA